ATAAAAATTCACAGGTCTCCACAAAGTAGTCTGTAGAGGTTTAGCTGAGTACCATTTGATGCCCCCTCCATCAAGCCAAACGGCGTCAAGACTATTTCTTGGAAAGGAGAACGCACCTGTTTATCAAGTAGCTGCATGGCGTTCGCTGACTTGATTTCTTCGGCAGACTGGAAAGGGAAGTTATTTCGAAGGATAGCGCGGATGAAATACTCCCTTGAACTGACCTTTGCTGCTCCAGCTGCTATCAACTGTGCTGACATGTGCTTCACGCTTGTGTTGTACGTTTGCTGTACTGATCGCTTGATTCGCAACATTTCACGCAGCGTATCTTCATTGCCATGCTTCACCTCGAATTCCATCCATGTGTCCCAGAATTGGCCATGGATCTATAAATTCAAGGATGAAACGCGAAATAACACCAATTCAGCGGAGTTCTGTAAGTTCACGCAAATGCAGACTTGAGAGAACATTCCGATGCTAATTGGGTAGGTGAAAATAAGCGGGGACTGACTGATGATTACTGTGGCTTCCCCCTTGATGCAACCCTGCTTCTAAAACTATGAGGAGATCTCCTCCCTCCCTCCCTTCCCATGAGAAAGCCATTATAGCAGCGAGGCTCCTTCAATCTCGCAGCCCATTCAAATACCATAGAAATGCCTTCAAGCGCTTGCATAGTTTGCAGAGATTGGCAAGTTGCCAGATCTGCACGACCTGTACCACAAGTCTCGAATATTCCCCGGTTTACGCAAATATGGACCTGAAGACCCTTTTCGAGATAATCGGATAGGTGGAAAATGACTATGGCGTGGTGGTCATTGTGCTTCGCTCATTATCACAGCCCATTGCTAAAACACAGGGAAGAGAACAGGGGCATCAGTGAGGAAAGCACTATGACTAGCCTAAGCTCCTCCCATTCCTCCGCCCAGTCGATCAACGCGGAATGTGCCTTTAACAAGCTATACTCGTACGGCAGACCTGACAGCTTGGCGTACTAGTGATCTCAGGCCTATGCGAACTGAAACACGACCCCTGATCACTGACTCCCCAAACCCCTTACCGATTTGAGTAAACATGAAGGTTTTACAAGAAAAAAGAAACTTCGAATAGGTACAATACCTTTGGATCACAAATCTCTGAGGCATGTGCAAATATCGCACGTGCACGGTCAATTTCACCAAGTGTGCGCTCCATTTGGGCATATCGTAGACTTAGCTCTCTGAAACCAAGAAAATGTTCAAAATGATTAACAACTGGGTTTAGGAGTCTTTCTGAACACCTGCGAGCCATCAAAGGCAAGCAAGTTTTGGCGCTGCAATACTGGTCTGCTGCAATACTTTGAGATATGCTATTGCTCATTCTGTAAAAAAAGGGTGGCATGTCTTGAGGGGTAACGTAGTGTGAGCTGCGGACTCATGCTGGGCAAGCGCCAAATTTTATTTAGCTCCAAAACATTTAAATGTGGAACTCACCTAGACGAATCCTCTAGTACGCTAATGGCGTGTTCGTAGATTGGTCGCGTATGAGGGAGTCCATAGAGTTCTTGTGCTTTTTTGATATAAATATTGAATATCTGAAGAGAAACGCTTCAGTAGCAGACACCTGTGTCGTGACACGAAAGCAAAAACATATTAGTAAAAAGCCACAACTCTAATTGAGAAAGTTTCAAACTTTCAAAATCTAGACTCTGGCAAGATAAACTAAAGGCACGATCAGCAGATGTGCGGAGTCCCTATCGATTGTATAACACATGAAATTTGAGCCCATACACCCATTCGATAGTGTATCGTTACAGACTCTATAGTGTGCCGATCCTTTTTATGAAGTGAAAGGTGCGTTAACGAGGTAGCCGCTTTGGATACGAGACTCCGCCCACCTAGTTATCATGGAATGTCTCTTAACTGTATAATTACGAGAAGTTTCATGAAGCAAACGCTCACCGAATACATATCTGATCTATCTACAGCTTCAGCAGCGCGACTATAGATGGACATAGCGTGCCTAGCCAATCCATAGTCCTCTTCTAATTTTGCATATAACAGGAAAATATCTGAAAATCGAGTATAAATGAATTTGAAGGGCCAAATTGCACTCGTCAAAGCAGCAGTATTCCATGAAGGAACTCACTCTTCGTGAACTTTGCTGGGCATGTCTCAAGACATTGCTCGAACAGATCTCGTGCTCGCTCTAATTTCTTTCCACCCTAAAATTCCAATGATTACAAGTTGAATGGTTAGTTATATGGAAATGTTCTAAAGGTTACAACTCACATATCGCTTCACAAACTTTGTAAGATATAAATTCCATATGTCATATACTTGAGGCCACTTGAACAACGCCACTCCTCGTTCATAAGCCTAAACACAACGTGATAGAAAAAGTCAGACTTACATTCCGAAAAAATCGGTTCTCGTAAGATTTGGGCAGAAGCTGGTTGACAACAAGACAATGCGGTCGACTCTTTTTTTTGTTCGTCTGCATTCTCCCATAGACACAGTGCTCGTTCACCAGTACTCATCGTTCGCGATTCGACCGCGGATAGGATCGCGCAGTGGGATCGCTCGAACGCCAGGATTGCGCAATCCAAGCAATGGAATCGAGAAGTATGAACGCATACTCAGTGATCGTTCCCAACAGCCTTATCCTTTGATATGGCTGTTCAGTAGAGGAAGGCGAGTGTGTAAACATTTGTTTCAAAAAGATAGAAACCTTCACGAGTGAAACTGCGGACGTACCTTGAAAGCGTACTCGTAATAATCATGCTCTTCCAAGAACATCGCATAGTTGATGACTATTTGAGGGGTTGCTATCCGAAGATCCAGAATTCGGTCATATACGGCTCGGCACGAATCAATCTTAAAAAGAAATTTTCGGATAGAAAACAATTTCTGGATCACGAACTGATAGCCATCTCGAATCACTAGACACAAGACAGGGGGGCGTTATTCGAATAAGCAGGGCACTTCTAAGCAAAGCACCGAAGCCATTTAAAACACTGACTTTCAGCAGAAATGAGTTCGCGAGGTCTTTGCTATCTAATTACCTCATAATAGCTTTTAGTGCCCTAAAACACATTCATACATCGCGATCCAAACGCCTGGATCGCGCGACTGGATCGCGATGTATGAATGCGCTCCCACAGCTCTAAAAGCCCACCCCACTAGAGCGCCTAGGAAAGACCGACAGTTGCAAATCCAAGCGGTTCGAATGGAATCAACATCTGAAGGGACGGACTTTGAAAAGCCCCTGAAAACAAGTTCCCTTACCGTTCCAAAGCTCTCCTCTAGATCTGCATACATCGACCATACTCGAAGACTTTTATGAACTCTCATTTGAACGGTTTCCGTTTCGTCAAAGTAATTTGTTTTACGTGGCGGTGGAGCACATGCACGTCGCAATACGGTAATGGCCCGATCGGATGATCTGAAAACAAAAATTACTCTATATATTACTCTATACAGATAACAAGTAGATATTTTCAACTGCTGGAAACAAAAAAAGATAAATAAATAGATAACCATAGTAGAAAGGACAGATGACTGTGTACTGCCAAGAGGCGCAGAGCCGCGAGCATGACAAAGGATCAGATTTTGAGGGACGGGCTTCCCTCCGACCCAAGCACTCCTTTGGAGGTTTGCGATTTGCTTCCAGATAAGTTCGGGAGGATAAAAACACCATCAGAATACTGCATTTTGACTGGTGGTTTGGTGGGACATTGTTTTAAAGACACATGGTACGCTCAAAACATTAAGGGTGTATGAGACTAACAGCCCCCCAGCTGTCGATGTGTCGTGGTTTCCCCGCCCGAAACTGCACGGGGGTCCTAGTACGGGACCGTGGGAAAGGCTTATTCCTTGCTACACCGCCCAAAATTCACCGCGCGCAAGTTGCATTTCGCCGCGCGCAAGTTGCATTTTGGGCGGTGTAGCAAGGAATAAGCCTTTCCCACGGTCCCGTACTCGGACCCCCGTGCAGTTTCAGGCGGGGAAACCACGACACATCGACAGCTGGGGGGCTGATAGTCTCATACACCCTCAATGTGTTTGAGCGTACCATGTGTCTTTAAGTCAAATAGCATTCAAAAGCCACAGCGAATCTTAACAATTCCACTTCTAACCAGAATTTTGCAGGAGGAGCAGTAAAGGGCCAATTGTGGCAGGCACTAATGGGCCAAATTATCAGTAAAAGTGAAACTTCTCAAATGACTGACTTGTGTCGCAACTCCAGTTCGGCATATTCACACCATACAGTGGCCAATTCATCCACCTTTGCATACGGAATTTGAGTGGCTTTTTCGAAAATACTTCGAGCCTAAAAAGTACTGGAGTAATGGAAGAATTTGAGAAGTGAGAAACGGCGTACTGATGGGCAACTTACGTCTTCCAATTGATCAGCATTTTCGTAGAATTTTGCAAACGATATCCACAGGGAGCACAGTTTTCCCACCTGCATCTTCGGTTTCACTGTACGGACACCTTCCAGGTAGGTGTCAATTTGCTGAAAAGTACGCAAAGTGGTAGGCTCATTCACTCCTCCTCTCGAAAAAGCAAGTGTGCCCAGAGAAAGGCGAAGGGGAGAAAACACAAAGCTTGGTCTGAAAAAAGGTTCCCTTTCAGGGAAATCCAACCATTCTAAGCCAAGTGCATGACTACGAAGTCTAGAATCTCGAAGACCAGAACGGATGATGTGAGAGAAAGACAAGAAAGCGCATAGGAATGTAATCTTAGAGACTTTACACATTCAACCAATGTGGAATTTCAAGACATCGGCTCCAACAAACCTTTTCGGGTTGCCCTTCATAAAGAGCGACTCTATTGAGCCATTCGTGAACATTATGAGGATTTTGTCGAAGCAACACACTGTTCAGCAACAACGGTCGACGAGCCATAAGATGTTCAAATCTAAATAGAATGTGATAAGACCGTAAAGCTAAGAAACCTCGCTCAGTCACACCTCGCAAAAAGCCATTCGAGTTCGAGTTCATCCTCCTCGTTCGGTGGCTCAGCCAAATTGTCCATTCGTGCTGCTGTATTCCGCTCTTCAAAAGCGGCATAGGCATCGAAAATTTGGGTGAAATCACGCACAGTCTTTACAGAGATCATGGCTTCTTCATAGATATCCCGTGCCTGAATGGGAGGGAGGATATGAGAAACCGCTATAAAACCCTCTCATGAGAGGGACGATGAGAAAAAAAGTGCACACTCACTCTTTCAAACTGTCCAGCTCGGATGTAGTATTCAGCAAACGAACACCAAAGCACGCCCACCTACAACAAGGAGTAATTACTATGAAAAATCGAGAAAACTACGAAAGACTCTGGGATTATTATAAAAACTGGCGTTAAACACCGTATTTCGCGTTGGAGAACTCGCGCGCGCGAAAGCATTCTTGTGGTAAGCTAGGCTCTCACTACAGCGATTCAGTGCTTTCGACCACTGCAATAGTCAAATCTATTCTGAATGTGATTGGATTCGCAGTAGCCAACAATTAGCGATGGAGCGTGACTTATCAAAGCATAGGTGCTCTTGACTGAACCGGGTATATACGAAACAATCTCGTCAAATAAACCTTGTCAGCGGTTTTGTCGCACATTACAGTACGTTCATACTCTGCGTCGGGGTGCTGAACGACTAGCGGTCTAGCGTTATGACCGACTGTCAGCGTTTTGAGCGCTTCTCGGGCAGTTTTGAGCCTTTTGCGGGCGATCTGGGAAATGATGGCGTACGTATTGCTAAGTCGATATCTATACTTTTCTAGTCGCTGGGAACGCTGACGCCAAGTATGCACGCAACCTACTGTTCAGCAAAGAATAGCTGAACTAATAAAAAAACTTCTGACTGTGAAACCAACCACGAACCTGATCGGAATACTTCTGAATGCCCTGCCTCATAATCACGTTCACATCTAACGAGTGGACCTTCTTTGGATTTTTTGATATCAGTTCGCAAAGTTCTGCCCAGAGCTGAAACAACATCCTTTCAATATTTCAAGGATATGAGGCTTCAACTAGTATGTCAGCTGTACCTGATGGACCGTCTTTCCCTTGTCTGATACGGGCATGTCCTCATTTACGAGAGTAACCAGCTGGCGAGCTGCTTCATCGAGTTGATCAATCTTGATCAGATACTCCACAAAGTCTTCCCGACCGCGCGGATTTAATTTCAGATACCTGAGAAGATGAAGAATATTAGATTACTTATAAAGCCCCACCCCAGGGAGAGGAAGATAGATCAAGCTCACCTTCTGTAAACTCTAATGCATGTCTCTGGAATGTCATGACTGGTAACAAACTTGATATAGAGGGGCCAAATTCGTAAGTGTTGTGTTACTGGTAATGCTCGCAGGAAAGGAGGAGAAGGGGGGGAAGGCGAAGGGCAGGGAAAAAAGAGGCGAGAGCGGCAGAGCCCTGAAAGCGATATGTCACAACACAAGGGGTCCTGTGGGGCCTGATAAGCGGCACGTGCTGCTAACTGACAATTACTTACCTATCAAAAACCCGACGGCAATCCGTAATCACCCGCCTCTTCGTCATCACTGTACAGTAGTCCATCCATATTCGAGGCATCTTAATGAAGACATGATTAATGATTTTCGAGATTTTTAAATGCTGCTCGGCTGAGGGTCGCGGAGAAAAATTCGCTATTTCACTGGTTCTCTTGACTAGTTTACAAGCAGGACGTACTTCAGCGAAACATGTAATGTCTTGTTAAGCTGCGATTGGTACAAGTATGGCCTGCACAAGTTTCTCTGAGCACCACTTAGTGCCCCCATCAAGACGAACTGCGTCACCATCCAGAATAGCAGGCAAAATGCAACGGGTTTCGAATGACTGGCAAAAAATTAATGGTTCCATCCAAAGTGCTACCGCGGTAAAAACAAAGAGTGCGAAAATTGAAAAAATGTTCAAAATTTCGTAGAAAATCACCTTATGCATATGAATAAGACATCTTTCGTAGGCATCACATAAATGGGACCAAGAGATATCCGTGGGTGCTTTGTTGGCTATAACGCGATGCCGAAAACGCAGGTAGTTATACCACAACTTGTAGCTCCGGTCGAACACTTTCAAGGCTCGCTCGTAAATCTGAAGATGAACAATTCAGAGAAGAACGGAAAAGCTTATTTTGAAAGATGAAAGCTCCATAAGGGGGAAAACTCGGTGCAGTTTCGGCTAGTGGGGGCATTTGGCTGATTCTAATCGATTACTATTGATGCCTGTGGAGACCTGTGAATTTATGTGATTCTATGTGAAAACGGTAGCTTTGTCATCAAGTGTACATGCCTCACCAAGGCAAGATGTGTAAGTTAACAGGAACTAACAAAAGCGACTAGTGAAGATGCGAAATGCCCCTCCAAGCGGAACAGCGACGGGAAATCATCTTTACACAGACAGTACTTTACCTGACACGTCTGCCTCCATGGTGCGTTGGTTTTCTTTTTGTGATCGATATATCGCTGCCAACTGCGTAACGATGTGGGATTCTTCAGAATATCCTCTTCATATGGAATATCTTCATCGGTCTGCAAACAAAGTTTTGAATATTTTGTGTTAAGGAGTTTAGAAAATGTCATTAAATTCGTATTCCGAATAGGAACAAGCAGTCGCAATGGGAGATTTTTCGAATACAGCCCCCTGTCCTGCTTACCACTGGACCTTGTTATAACAATGCTGTACCGAACCCTCACAACCCGAATCTCATTCTCAGGAGAGCGAGAAGTGTTGGGGGCGAGGGGTAGGGAGGGTTAGGAGACATCCACGTAGACGTAGAAAATCTCAGATCTACGTAATCCTCTCCTCTGAGCGTGATTCTAAATCTTGACTCCTAGCATTCGCCAAACGAGAGTGAGTCATCTCACATTTGTGCGAATCTCATCGACGGG